CATCCCGCTCTATGTTAGCTACCCGGGGCTCCGGGTTAGCTACCCGGGCCTCCAGGCGGCCCTGGCGCTCCACCATTCGGCGTTCTACTGCAGCGAGTTGTCCGTCTTCAGGTCGACTAGGAGGTTGGGGGGATAAGTCCACTTGGCGGACTTCAATTTCCCCCGCATCCTCAAAAGCCACCGACTTACTTGGACGCACCCGCCCGTACATGGCTCGGTACACATGTTGATGCCATTGAATATGCCCTATGGCTTCCCCAACGGTAGCGGGATGCTGGGTCAGTGCGTGGCATCCCGCCTCCCGATTTAAGCACCCTTGGCTGTTGTGAATAGGGCCCCAGGTCCCCGGTAAATACTCGGAGAGCTAACCCGAGCACCCGATCAGACCACTCAGGCAGGGATTCCTCTGGCCCCTGCTTGGCAGACGCAAACTCGAGTTGGGCAGATTCCGGCAATCCGCTGTGGTCGAAGCGCCGCGCCAATTTTTGGACCAACGGGAAGTACTCCAGGCCCGGCTCTTGTTCCAGAGTCAGGCTCAAATAATCGCCCGCTTTCCCCTCTAGGCACCAGCTTAGCTGATTCACTCTCTGGGGTCCATCCCATTCCTGCTGGTCTGCAAAAGCAGTGAATTTATGGAGAAAAGCCCTCCAGTTTCCGCGCCCATCAAAAGAAACAGTCCTGGGGAGTCGCTGGTAGGATGCCCTACCCGTGTCCCCCCCTTGCCTATCCCCCCCTGGGGGCATAGGCCCGATGTATCTGATTCCCTGGGATGTGACTACCCTCCCGGCCTACTAAGGGTTGGAACTCCTCACGGATATCCCTGGCAATAAATCCAGGATAGGGCGGGGCCTGCGGGTCCCGCCCCACATCTACCCCCTTCAATTAGGCCGCCCCTCAGGGCTTATGCCCCCCTGCTCCATTGCGGGCACACCCCCCAACCAAGAACGCCCTCCTGACTCCCCCTGGGGGCCTGGTCTCCCCTCCCCAAGGGTTGACAACTCGAGGGTCTGTCCTCCCCTAGGGTTCCCCTAGCTCTATACGAGGACACATGGGGTCAAGCGACTGGTTCACCCCCCCCCCCCCCCCCCCCCCGGGGGTGGAAAATCCAGTCGGGGCTACGCCCCGGGGCCTTCCCGATACATCCCCTTGGTTAGAAAATGGAGGCGGATACACATCATATGGGTATTGATGTCCCCCCGCCTCGGCCTGAGCTCCGCAGGGGGTGCTAGTGTTCGGGGCCCGCTGCCCCGACGGAGTAAAAAACACACTCTGGCTAACCCTATCCTGACTGGGAGCCCCCCCCCCCTGCCCCCCGGGTAGCCTCCCGAGGAGAAAAGTCGAACCCACCTAGAAGCCCCCTGGACTCTGCTAATCCTGGGGACGCCTCAAATAATTCCGGGGTTATATTCCCGTGCTCAGTCCGGAGACCCAAAATGATCCCGGCCTGCGCAGGAGCGAGCCCCGGCATGACTGCGAGTTCTTCAAAAGAACACACATTAATGGGGAGCTTAGCCCCCCCATCCGTCATACTCATAGCGACACAATAATCGCAAAAGCCTTAAAATAGTCCACTAAAAATACCACTAACTAACGTCGGGATAATTACCCGACAGAAAAATAAGTTTCCTAAATTCTTAACTGAAATCTACTAGAATCAACTAGTATTAACTAGAATTCTAGATTTTACTAGAATTTACTAGAATTAACTAGAATTCTTCTAACTTAGGTGCAGCCCACTCAATCCACTCCAACACGGATAATCACACACGATTTTTCTTTTATTTATTTTTTTTTTTTATTTTATTTTTTTTTTTTTTTTTTTATGACTCCCGCACTACACTGAGTGGGTGGGTCCACACACAACACGCACACAAACCAAACACTCACGCACCTAAAATACTACAAACAGCCTACTGCTATCAACCACTAAAAGCAGGTCTAGGTCCTAGATCTGATAATAGGTCCAGGCCTAGACTCTCAATATAATGGCACAGTCAACCTGCCCCCAAATCCGGGCAAAACAGGCTTCAAATCACCAATTCGAAAAAAGTAGATCTAATATTAAACAAAAAACAAATCAGCAGAGAATATTTCCGAAACTTACCCCACTCCAATCGCCCAAAACAGCTCTAGCTTCCCAACAGTCTGCAAAAAGGCAGCAGGCAAAACAAATCCCTGTCAACGATCCACAGACAACCGAAAACAAAATGGCGTCGATCGAGAGGAGAAGGACTAAAAAATATCCCTCCGCCGAATCCAATACACTGTAGTGTGTGGTAAACGCTTTTGGCGCGAACGGCAGTCTCCAAAACCTGCGCGCTCAAACAAAATAACACGCACTCAAAAAATGTTTCAAACCGGGCTAGTATTACAGCCCGGCTCGAAATCACGCACGAAACAACCGCTAAACACAAAACGATACCTAATCAGACACCCCACACCACCAACTAAGCTCAAACATTCGCTACAGAAAATCCAAACACGCACACTCGAATCGCACTGCCTTCAAACCCCCAGTGCAAAAGTTCTGCCACAGCTGTGCCGGAACTATACTCGGAGTTAACGAGAGCAGACGATCGACCAAAAAAATCAAAAAATCACCGCAAAAATGTCTTAAACTGAGCTAATATTACAGCCCGGCTCGCGACACCCACACGAAACAACAGAAAAATATACACAACAAATGACGAAATAGGCAAAGCAGAGTAGCCCGCCCTGCCCAAGACGAAAATTCGAAATTTAACTTAGGATCTAGTCTACTGATTATAACAAATCACAGCGAGCAGCTTAGCCCAGCGCATCGGACCGCATATGTTACCTAATGCTTTAGGGCAGCCGTGCTCGCTGTGCAAAAATCACAAGTCTTAAAATTCCTCGCAAATGCAAGCAAGTAATTTGCTCGCAGCGCCAATGAAGTCGCCCTGATCTACAGATCATAGGCTACAATGTATTACGTATTAAATACTACAAAAGAGACAAAGAACAGCACTTACCGGTATAAAGCTCGGAGTGTCTCGCAAGTCTGTACCAGTCAGTGTATAGCAGTTCTCAATCTGTCTTGCCAGTGGACGAAGACCAAAGGCGCCCTCTTGTGTTAGGAGCTTGTCTGCCTTGCCAGTGCACGAAGACCAATGGCGCCCCCTTGTGTTAGGAGCTTGTATGAGCTTGTAATAGCTTGTAGGAGGATGGGGGCAATTCCTACTACACTACGGAGAGAAAACATTTTCTATGGAATTGGAGGTGAAATTAGTAAAATATTGACAAAAGATCGGCAAATGTTGCAGTCTTTTTGCGTCCGTTCTGAAAAAATATGAACTTGCTGACAAGGGTCTGTAGCCTAGAATCTAAATCTTTATTTTAAGAGCAAATGTCATCAAAATTGTAAATAAAAAGTGGTACCAACCAGGGGCGGCGAATTATTTTCATGACCGGGGCGACAAAGTGCGAGCCTCAGGGAGCATAGACCCTAGATCCAGTGAACGAGAGGGGTGAAGGTGACGGAAGTGACTAGATCTAGGCTAGGTCCTATCCGGTATCCCTTTACACTTTAACATGTTTTTGAAGTTTTGTTGTATTAAAACATGACAGTATTGTAGTCTACAAACAAGCAATAGGTATATACTTTTTTCACACTTCCCCTTCACATTGCCGGTAATTAGTGTGCAGTCCGAGGCGAAGTGTTGTAAATATTTAGAATCTAGACCTCTAGAGGTCTAGGCTAGTAGGTCTAGGTAAATTTTAGTAAACTTTAATCATAGATCTAGGCCTAGACCAGTTTAGAGCTAGGTCTAGACCCGAGTCATGTAACGAAGGACCTTGAGTTTGACTTAAATACTATTTTTTAGAAAGATGTACACCATTTCCCTTTAGAAAACAGGCTACAAATGTTTGTATAACCAGGCTGGAAGGGACTCCTAAAAATAAAACTTAAAAAAGAGCGAGCGGAATATTAGTCTAATTTTGTTAGCACTGATCTATTTCTAGGTCTAGTCTATCTATAGACCCTAACTCTTAATCTTGTAAACCTACAGTGTGAAATGTGAACTGTGCTTAAGTGATACCAACGAAAAACAAATTTTCCGCAATATTTACTTGTACATTTTGAAGGACATTATGCGAGGGATTGTAGCTAGCGACCGAGCGAGAAGATTTTTTTCCATTTTTATTAGGCCTAGAAGTCTAGGCCTAGTCCAAACAATGCACTCTTCAGTCTTGGGCCCTCCAGAGCCTAACAAAGAAAAAATGTTGCAGCCTGTAGTCAGCATTTGCTATACATTTTGGGTGTGCACTTTTTCACATTTTCCGGTGTGGGGGGGGGGGGACGATCCCCTCCCCCTTAACATTGCCGCCCCTGGTGGTAACTGATTGAATGATATTTTTCCTTGCAAAATATCCAATTATCTTACATTTGATCGATTGAATTTTTCGATAAAACAGATGTAAACCTCTGTGCACGAAGTATTAAAGTCTCGTTGTTTTTATGACTTTTTCGTGAGTTGCAGCGCGCACGTACGCCAATCCGACATTGAATTTTAGATCGCGATATATCCTTTGACGAAAATTGTTTGTAATAGCCCCAATTTGTAGTTAAAAACTTTGCCGTCCATTCGCTTATAATTGATTTAAATAAATTTGTGTAAAATAATAAAGGGAAATAATGAATCAAATATCACATTTTTCTAATATTTTCAAAAAACTCTGTGAACTTTTTTTTTTCACTGCAGATTTTTGTGTTCATGTCGCTTTTTAATTTTAAGTCGGCATGAACAACAAATAATGTATTAAAATGGTGTTTTAAGGATTTTCTCATTATTATTGATATCATTATCATGATTATGTTTGTTATTATCATTACCATTATTATGATATGGTTATTATCATTATTGTTATTGTTATTGTTAGTATTGTTGCTTTCATTTACCTCATGTAATATTTGTTACCAATATTTGCTTTCAAGAATCACATTATTTCCCTCATTCCTTTTCAAATATTCTTTGTAGGAGTGGAGGTGGTACTCTACACAAAAAGAACAACGTCCAGGTGAGTGACTTTTGCTATACAGGTGCATGCATTTCCATTTGAAATATTCAACAAAGGGATATCCTCTGAACTTTACTATTAAAGGGAATTGCAAAACAGTTGCATTTTTTGTTTTGGAAAGAACTCAATTAATTCTCGGAATATGAAAGTACTATTTGTAATTTCAGCATTACTGACATGGGATTCTGTATGTCCACACGTTTATTCTCAATATTTAATTCGATGTAAATGGAAGTGACAAGTTTGTCTGTTTATATTTATTGCAGAATACTAGGCTTGAGATAGAGCAATGCCAGCTATCTACTAAGATGACCGAGAAGTTGTGGTCCTGTCTCAGATCCTTCACCTCACTGAACTCTCTCACCATCTCAGACTCCTCTCTCAGTTTCCCTCCATCTCCTCCTGACCTTCCATCCGTCACAAAGCTATTAACCGTGAGCGTGACGTCACACAGCTATGAAGGTCTGCTCTCATCGCTTCCTGGCTTAAGACGTATCGGTATCACTATCGATGATGCAGAGAGAGACATACCTCAGATCACGGCTTGTCTTCGTCGGACCGGAGGACAGCAGCTCACACACATCAACCTTTATGCACCATCATCACTCCCATCAGAGAAGAAGAGTGTTTCGAGAGAGACGATGAGAGGACTGGGTCTTCTAATCAGAGAACAAACCAAGAACCTGCAGGTGCTTTGGCTGCATGGAGTGAAGTGCACATACGAGGAAGACTTGGTTTACCTCATCGAGTGCTGCAGACATGTGAAGACGATGTCACAGCTGTGGTAGGTTCTTGTTTAAATCTTGTATAAAATAGATTAAAATCCGTTACTAGACGATCCTGTTTAGTTAGTCTGCCGTAGTTAAGCATAACGATACGAATGCGTGAAGGGGTGCACAGGTTCAAACTTGGGCGTAACCTCCAAGTTAGGATGGGTTTTGTTTTACTATTGCTCTCAATTGTTATTTTAGAATTTTCATTGTGCAGTCGCAATGAATATATTGAATTTGAATAGACCCCTCTACCTGTATTGAACATCCACAATTTTGATATACAGTTGCATGTATTATTATAAACCGTCGGAAGGTAAAATAATGTATGTCCATTTTGACTTTAAAAAAAATCATATCCTGATAAAAAAAAATTATCATTATCATAAATTGTCATTATTATTATAATTATTAGATCTAGGTCTATTATTATTTGTATTTTGCCACTACTATCACCATTATCATCATTTATTATTGCGTTTACTACTGTTAATATCATCATCATGTTATTATTGTCACTATCTTATTAAATATCATCAGTATCAATATTTTGGGTTGCAAGTAGGCCCTACGTGTTTTATTTTTAGGCAGAATGGCGAATCACCGAATACCGGCAGCGAATTCAAAAGTGTTGCGCTCTAGCTGCAATGAACCGTTAAAGGCAAACTGTCCTTTTTAATAAATCGTTTTTTCGGATACATCGTCCAAAGAACATCAAGTTTCATGAGGTGGCGGGTATGCCCCCCCCCCTCCCCTGGCCATCGTCAGCTCTTACTCTTCGACTCATAATTTGTGAATTCTCGAAGCTTAAGCAATGCCAAGCTAGGGGAAATGACTAATTTCCCCTTTTCTCCCCCTGGAGGATGTTTCATCAACTAAAATTAATTTTGATTTCAAAAATCAATTGTTAAAAATCAGGCTGAATTTCTTTTGGCTTAAGACTGATGCTCGTGAGCGGTTTCATCGAATCAAATTTAAACTATAATTGATTTTGATAAATATTAGGTTAAATTTAAGAGGGCTCTGTAATCAAGGCTAGTCGGTGTTGGGTCAATAAACCACAACATTGCGTCGATAAACTACTGCAAGAGAGGTTCTCGAAAAGTAAGTAAAATTCTGTTCTGTTGATACAAAAATTGTTATTTTGGTAGAAGGAAAGTATTACTCTCATTTGTAACCGAACGATATTTGAAATAAATATCAACTAAAAGCATTCCCCAACTGAGCTCAACTTGAGTTAACTCTTCAAATTGCACCAGTTCATGCATTTCCGTCCCATTCATATAGCCTACATTCATGCATGTTTAACTGTAGCCTACGTATTTGGTTAGAACATGTAAGAAATATAGTTATTCTTTCATTTGATAACAAAATAGGTCTACCACGGCTTTAGGAATCATCGTGTTGTATGGTTTCGTCGATAAGTCTAGTGCTTAAAATTTAGATTTAGTCTAGGCTTAGATTCCAAATCTAGGCCTAGATCCAGGCTAGACTACTTTGTTTTGTTGCCGGTAGGCAGTGCTGTCGCCATTGTTTTGTGTTAATAATAACAATCAACGAGATCATTGCTTTAACTTCAACATTTTATGCTAGAAAATACGACTCTACGGTGTCAGACCGAAGACCAGGTTAGATCTTGATTAAGATCTTGATGTATCATTTAGTCTACATGCTACCAGATATAGGATAGATGTAGACCTAGTCTTCACACTGCACCCTTTGTGTAGGACTAACCTATATAAGTTAGGAGTTAGAGTTAGTCCCTGAGTCATAGATGTAGTTGACTACTTGTATTTTTGTGACATCTAAATTAACAGGAGTTAGATCTAGTCTACGTCTAACAGTAAAAAGTTAGATTTTAGACTAGATGTAGAATGTTAGGTAGGTCTAGTACTAGTAGGCTCATGTATCGAGCTCTATATTTTGTTTTTCTTTCAGAGTCAGAGATGGAGTGGACCTGAACATTTGAGTCATATCCAATAAATAGACCTCTAGTCTAAGACTTCTCTCCCACCGTGTCTTCAACGTATTGGACTAACTTCTCATCCTACCCCGGCCCCTAGGAAAGGGTTTGGATCTGCATAATGTAATCCAGTTCAACGTGTACTGCAAGATCCTACCGTGCTAAATGGCCTTGTTATGTAATTTTCTTAGCAAAGTTTGAACACCGACATTAAAATAACGGTGAGGTTTTTTGATTTCTTCTTTTTCTAGACCTACATAGATATGAATTACTAACTTGTTGTTGAGTTTATAGTCTTGATATTCATTTTTGATAAAGGGTTAAGATACCGGATATTGGATTTTACAATAACAAACTGAAAATTCTGTGTTCTTAATTTAAGAGGGAGCCAACCATGACAAGTCAAAAACATAAATAAATTACTAGATCAGCCAGATTTGATCAATATTGTATGTAACATGGGGCAGCAATTTAAGTATACATGTAAATACGTGGTTGAACAAACTCTAATAGTAATAAGCGTATGCATAATGTAAGCTTCAACCTGTTTGTTATATACCAGTTGAGGTATCTCTTTCTCTTCTTTTCACCAGAGGGTATTTTTTTATCAAATCTCTGTACGATAGGTTTGGTTCAAGATCAGATTATCCAAGATTAAGATTAGACTGCTGTAGAGTCAGATTACAAATGAAAGCTAAAGTTTAAGATCTACACATTCAAGATCAATATTTTAAAGAAATGTTTGGGATCAAAATCAAAATCAAGATGAGTCCAAAATGTGTATTATAAAAAAGAGGTTCCCGTTCCATAGTCCAATTGATACGATTATCACATTTTCTAAAACTTCCAATGTGGTTAGTGACATAGTGGTTTGAAATGTTTCTTTTTCTTCAGTGGAACACATTAGATTAGGTAAAGTGACAACTATTTTTCTGAGAAATATATTTGCTCTCTCTATGGTATAATTATGTATATGTCTGTTTGATTCTCACCAAATGGTTATGAAAAGATAAAACAAATTCCAAAGCCTAAAAATCAATTATGTATTATTTTTTCAAACAAAACTGGTTTCGTATCAATATTTTTAAAGAATATTTGTTATCCTTCTACTTTACTTATTTTCCAATCAAATAAATTGACATGAACAAATACAAAAATTGAAAAATTACACTAGTATTAATTACTTTTTTTTATTGCATAACTTTCAATTCCAAATTCTAGACTGCAGAGCTTGAATCCCCTGCAACGTTATGCTTCATATGGAACATCAGCCAGCCTACAGATACAAGCTCCCTTTTCTAACTCTAAGCAAGAGGGACCACAATGCTAAAACAGATCGTGGACTGGTCGCTTTCTCATTTTACTACGACTTCCGGTGAAACAGATTTTCAAATAAATTCATCTGAAGATATTAAAAGTGCTCCAGTCTGTGTACTAATATTCGCCATCGAGTATGATATTATTGGTTTGATAAGATTTTATCAAGTAATATTTTAAAGGAAGTAAACAAATTAATGATACTTCCAAGAATTCTATTCTATTTTTTAAATAGAATTGTAGAATCTTGCAGAAGAAAAAAGAAAACAACTAATTACAGTTGAAAGATAAAACTAAAATAATAATCCATATTAAGTTTAATAGCTCTGCAATTTAAGCCTGTACTTTCGAGAGATATCTTGCTAAGTGTTGGTGCTGATCTTCAAAGCTATGATTCTTTCATGGAGGCTGTTGTTTCTAAACTTACATTACATACATGTAGATAAATCCGTTCATGGTGATAAATCTTAAAATATCAAATTGGACATTTTAAAGTATAGCAATTCATCTGAGCAGCAGTTGGGCCAATTTGGAAATCTTAGTAGAGTTTCTGTTGGCATGAATATGTGTCGATAATTACCTGTTGATACCTGAATTGGATATTCTTAGCAATTGCACAAGAACAAATACAAAAGAAATAACCGAACATTTTAATTGCAGTGAAAACAGATTTGTTCGGCACTAAATAATATATCAACTCGGATTCATGTTGTCCTTAACAAAATCTCAAAGCTGATAGAAAAAAAATTGATAATTAACTTCGTATAGATAAACTGTTATATCAAGAATTTTTGTTTCATCAACTGCATGACCTTACATGACAATGTATATTACCCTTAGATTAACAACCATATTACTATAGTTACAGCAATCCTTACCACAAATCTTACTCTTTTAATCTCCACCAATGTACCTCGACTAGACAGTGGCAGATATTAGCTGCAATAGTTTTAACAACCGGTTGTCACTTAAAGAGCAGTACTTTCATTTGTGTCATTGAAAATGTTCTTATTGTATCCTCTAAAATAAATTGCTTTTACTCATCATTTGTAAACATGTAGATTTTCATGCATTAAAGCATAAGGATAGCTATAAGACTTTTAAGCTTTACAAATTTGTGTAAATGTTATTTTGTATTTGAGCAATGTATTGTTTGTCATTTAATATGAAAAAATGGGTTATGCACAAATTGAATGGATGAGATTGTGCGCTAACGCATAATTAGTAATTATTAAATGATGATAAAGGGCAATAATATGTGATTCAATGATGGTGTGTTTGTTAGAGTGATTAGATAACCTATCAGTGATTTTGTTAGAAGCCAGTGGTTATTATTTGTATTTTTACTTTATTTATTAATTATTATTATTATTATTATTATTATTATAATTATAACTGTTTTGTTGTTTGGGGGGGGGATGTGAAAGAACAAAACAATCACTTTGAAAGAGACAGAAAGCAAAGAGTTGTGATAGCAGTATGGATGTGTGTTAATGAGAGAAAGAGAGAGAGTATGTGAATGGAATAAGGGCACAAATTTATAAACAAATAATTAATGGCCGAAAATTTGCCTTTAATTTTGTACAAAATTCTCCATTCTCCGATACATAAGAACATTGTTAGCCTTCATTTACGCCTTACAAGCAATTAATGCTTGAACATATCGGATTAATAATGGGATGATTCTTGTTTAAATTCGTTTTATTTAAAGAGGGTTACTCTCTCAGTATTAAAACTGTTTCCTGGGAAACCCTGTAA